CATGATTGGGTACTTGATTATTTCATGGCAATTTAAGCTGATATACATGAACATGAACATGTAAATTTATCTTTGATATAATGTTGTGCGATAGTTCAAATAAGGTCATTTGTATTAAATTATTGAACTTTATAACGAAGCTTCTCTTTTTTTTCACGGCGAATATTGAATCCAACTTTCTTCTCAAATAGTTCTGGATTAACTTCATTCATCTGTTCTATATATTAAGGTTGAATGATTTATGTGTTTGCATTAAGAAAAAAATATGAAATATGAAAAAAATGACTCGGTGATGTTTGATAAAGGTAACTGAATCCATAATTAACGACCGAAAAGACAAAAATACAGATATTGCATTCGTCACAACTCGGCCGATTCCGTAACTCCATCGAGAGAAGCGGAGTCACCCGAGGTTTGCCGATTGACAGATATTGCTAAATTTTACAGGATTGTGAAATAAATTGTTCAAAATTCATATTATATCGGGAAGCTTGGGGTTTTAGGAATTCAACTCGGGATAGTGTGATTTTTTTTTCTTGGTCAGTTTACTCTGTTTTGAAAAAAATTTCCAAGAAAGATGGGTTTCTACTAAATATTTGTATTCTATGTAAATTCAGAGAAAGTAACCATACTGTGTTGATAGAAAAATGGAGATGATTGTGTAACGTATTGTACTTTATGTAATCCCGGTGATGTATTTATAATTAGTATTCTGCTGTTCTCAGCTGGAAAACAAACGTAAATTAGATCTTTGCAAATTTTTATAATGCCAATTAACTAACTCACTGCTAGGTTATGAAAAACAATCAGTTTAAAAAAGTGTGCTTATTCATTATGTGTAATGATAAAAAGGCTAGTCCATCCTTGACCTTGTATGTATATTGTCATCCTTAATTTCTTTATATCTCGTTTAACAGTTTATTAAATATGTGTTATTTCATATTTCATCTTAATTAGCACACTACATTTGTTTACCTTCAATTGTCGATGTGTATGGAAGGGAATATCCGCCAAAATTATACATTTTTTTAATTTGTAATATGCAATTTCTTAATTTGTAACATGCAATTTCTTAATTTGTAAAATGTAATTTCTTAATTTGTAACATGTATTTTTTCCATCCGTAATATGAATTTCTATATTTCTTGATTTGTGAAATGTAACTTCTTAATGTGTAAATGCAATTTCTTAATTTGTTAACGTATTTTCTTCGTTCGTTACATGAAATTCAACATTTCTTAATTTGTGAAATGTAATTTCTTTGTTTGAGTCACGTTTCGGGAGAATGTGTCGGTGTAATTATTACCGCTGCCAGCCAATGAAAAGTTCAGTTTCTCAAGAATAAACTACAAGTTACAAATCAAAAAGTCTTACAAATAAAGAAGTTTTACAAATTAAAAATGAAATAGTTCCACAATATTCCGCACGAGGTCGCTGTGGATCCATGTCAACTCGTACCTTAGCCAACTCGTACTCCACCAACTCGTACTTTTACCAACTCGTACCCAATATTTTATTATTTATACGCATTAAAGTTTTCATGTTCTTTTATATAATACACAAAATACTATAAAGTACAACTTTATTGATTGGTAATCTGATGCAATTTGTTTTCAAATCAGAAATATCTAAAGTTAATCATTCGTCTTTAGAAGTAAGAGCTTATGTTTGTATTGTTATATGTGAACCGAATCAAAATAAAACTTTCGTATTTCGTATTCGTATATGAAATTGTTTGAGCGATAATTTATTTCATATACATGTTGAATGATTATAATCATACAATGTTCTAATCAGTGATCATTAGTCAGTGCCTTTTGTATGGTGACATATGGTTGGAACTCCCCTTTTTATATGACTGACATGTGTTGGAATCCCCTTTTAAAAATGGCAGGATCGCGCCTGATTATGGATAATAGGCTCGGACCTACAAAAATATAATGGGGTTATTTAAAAGAAAAAGGACATAGAAGGGTTTATGAAAACACAGATTTCGGAATAAATGCTGCACCAAAGTCCGTTGATTTTTACTTATCAACTTTGTAAAAGCCAAGCTTTGGGGAGGGGTGGAATAAGGGCGAAATGTATGATCTTACATTTGTAATCATGGTTCGTATCTGTTATAGTATATAAATAACTGTATATGTAAATAAAGAGCTGCGCCATGAGCGCATGATACACCCGTTGCTTTTTCAAAGAATAAAGTTCCATAACTCCTCAATGGCATATCAGAAATTTATAAAAAACTAAAGGGAGGTTATTCTAATAGATATAAACCAGTCATCATTGCTCAAAGCACCTTTCAGTTATTGTCCGAAAACTGGATAATCCCCCTTTTTAATGAATAATACCCCATAACAATGAAACGTAAAATCTAAAATTTATAAAATTAAAAGGGAGACCAAGTCAATAGATATAAACAATTCACCAAAGTTTCATGAAAACTTCTCAAAGCATTTTTGAGTTATTGTTCGAAAACTGGAAAATCCCCCTTTTTTAATGAATTACACCCCATAACTCGGAAACGTAAAATCTAACTTATAAAAATCAAAAGGGACATTACGTCAATAAATATAAACAATTCACAAAGTTTCATGTAAATTGGTTAAAGCATTTTTGAGTTATTGTCCGACATGTTGACGACGGACGGACAGACGGACGGACGGACAACGGTATACCATAATACGTCCCGTAAAAGGGCGTATACAAACTTTTGGACTATGTTTTATTCCTGTGCTTGCTTTATCGCTTCAAAAAGATTAGAAAGGCTTCATATATAAACTAACTTGAAAAATCTTCTTGAACACATGTTCAACGCAAAAATCAGTAAACAATATTCTTCTCCCATATTCTATGGAGCTTCTTTTTTTTTAACTGGTTTTTGAGATGAACATTTTGTTCAAGAAGATTTTTCTAGTTAGTTTATATATGAAGGCATTTTAAATCTTTTTGACAAGCATTCAATTCATTTTACTTTGGTCACCTGTGTCAATTCACGTGCACAATTCGATTGTTGCTGTATTTCTATCTTTCGGCCAATAAAATGGGACGTTACAAGTTGTTTGTTTCTGATTTGCCAGAATGTTATCAATGAATTACTAAACGCTAAAGGCAGGTGAACGAAGTCAACTTTGGAGCGCTGTGATTGGATGTAAGAGTACAATATATTTTTTTATTTATCTATAAATAACTGCAGTGTGTATATTTACAAAATAAATTTTGAAACCAATTCCCTCCACTCCCATTTCGATGTAGTAAAACAAAACTCAACACATAAGTAGTGATAATCATATTTTGGCATAAATAACATTTACAATTATATACATGTCATAAATAATTTTTCATTTAAGGTCCATATTAATTATATAAAGATTAACTTCCAAAATATATAAATGCACCAAACCAACGGCTACTATAAAGTGACCAGTGTTACATAAAAACTACACTACAAAATGAACATGCCTGATAATACAAACAACAAATACTGGAATCCTGCAAACTAATAGAGGTTCACAGGTAAACCAGATGTAGAAGTAATGGTCTAGCCCAGCTTTCTTGACCATCATCTTCTGAAAAATAAAGTAAAAAACCACAAAGTATCTTGACCAAAAGAGTACATGTAAATACAATATTCTAATTACAAATGATTAACTACACCAATAAAAAGTTTCGTATGACAGAAACCCCAAAATAACTTAAGTGTAATCTATCTTTACAAAAACATTTTCTTTTATAAATAGATCCTGGTTGCTGAACAAATTGCTTGTACGTTTAAACAAATAAAATACTTCTCTTCTACGTTAACTTCGCCAATGCTTTATTACAATCTATAACAGTTTGTTTTGTATCATCAAAATCTATGGGTCTTGACAAAATTGCCGAAACTATTATCTTTAAAGACGGTAAAGTGTTGCAAATAAAATCAATTAAATTATTGTAGTATTGAATACTAGTTATCAATTTGCTGGATAAACCATTCCCAAAATCATTTGTGCCTACATGCAATAATAAATGTGTATCTTCTCAACAGTGCTTTATTGTCTTTCACAAATTGATGAAGTGTGTATATATTAGCACCTGATATAGCATTGCATTCCAGCCAGTTAATGTTATTCACATATTTACAAGTAGAATCTGACAACAAGAAAACCTTATTTTTTGACACATTGTCTGCAAAAAAAAAAAAAAAAAAACAATTAGTGGGAATTTCTTTAGCCATAGCTCGTGATATAGACAATTTGTCATGTAAATCAAATTCTAAATAAACTTTATAAGCGTCACTACGCCAATCCCCGTGAAATTGTATTAACTCAGAAGGAACTTTACTGTGAAAAGCCCATGTAGCCCCTACTCTGCGAAAAGAATTAGAGGAAAATTTAGAAGAATCTAAACCACACATTTCTAAAATGTGTCTGAGTTTTCTCTGAAAATATGAATAACATACAAATTTTATTGCTTAATTTAGTTTGTGGAATAAAAAAAGGCGGGGTCATTAACATCGGCTGGTACTAGAGTGCACATACGATTGTAAGCATTATACGGACAAAGCGGGGAATCCTTTATCTTAACCAATGGTAACTCAAGTTTAATTCCTATTACCAAAATGAATGGTTTTTGACCATTCCATTTTAACCAACAAGTAATCACTATAAACAATGACGTTATTTCTGCATAATTGTTTGCATAAATAAAACGTGTTGAACTGACCAGTAAACTAATTCAAATAACAAGGGAATTTCAAATTTGCCAGAAGTGAACAGATTCTTCTATCAACCAATCAGAGGAGATTAAAATACGGATGATAAATTATGCATACAAACAGGTAACGAGTAATGTCGAAAGTATCCGAGATGGAATTAAGCATTTTTAATTAAAATTTACCCATTGAAATATTTTCTTGAGAATTATTCGAAAAGACCACCAAAGATTCATAAATTTGATGTAAAATGACGGTGGGCATGGATACCCTAAACAAGCTCAGTTGGAAGATGGTCATGACACTAATTGACTTCAATTTCTAAAAAAGAATAAAAAAGTGCTAATGCCACACATGACTGTATTGTCCAGGTTTTTATCATAAAAAGTGGTTAATTTAGAAAATGTTAGTATTGTCGCCTATGGCAGCATAAATACTACCGTTTTCCCTAACCTTGACTGCAGTTCAGTGTAATACAGTAAATTGCATATCGGAGTCGGTTTCGAGCTCCGGATTCGGCACGACTGGTGTGTTTTCCAATTTTCAATGGCAACAAGAACACGAAGGACCTTTCATTTTTCCTGCTTTTTTAGTTCCGTTATTTATACACTATCAATTTGTAACAGTCTTTTTAAAACGACAACCTGACAAGGATCCTGACTAAGAATCGGCAAATGGACACTTGATGGTGTTTGTCTTCTTTTGGGCAAAATTACTTAAGTCGAAAACTATCGATTGACTGTCAAAGCCGTGAAATGGTGGTTTGAACCGGTTTTAACCAGATATATCTATATGCCATTTATAAAACATCGATAATATACTGTGAACCAAACAACTAGAGTGTCAAACTAATTAACATAAATAATATACTTGATATTTGATAAATTAAACGGTTTATTGCTTGAATGCCTAAATCCTTTAATCTGCCGACAAAATACATGTAAAAATATGTTGGCATAGAAACAAACAGTAATAATTATAATATGTGCAGGTAGGCTTAAACTTCCTTGATTAAAATTCAAGGTAATATTTCCTTTTTTTTCTGTTTGCAATGAATACATATATACATATTCGTCTTTTATGTTTGTTTGAATGAGGAAATCTTTTTGGGAGGAACGGTAAAAAAACGTGTATCTCTTGTTGACAGCTTAGAGAAAGCATATTCAAGATATATAGAATATATTCCTCTAGAATAAGGAATATATATTGAATGAGGTAACTTTAAAGGATACCAATAATGGGTTCAGCCTTTTTGTGGGAACTACAGTTATCTTTAAGATATATCATTTTCAATGACAACAAGAACACGCCAGACCTTTCATTTTTCTGCCTTTTTAGTTCCGTTATTTATACACTATCAATTTGTAACAGTCTTTTAAAAACGACAACCTGACAAGGATCCTGACTTGGAATCGGCAAATGGACATTCCGTTTTGAATTTTCATATTTTATTTTTATTTTTATAAGGTATCAATTGAAGTATTGGCAACTAATTACTTTGTTTAAAAGTATGATTATAATTAAAAATTTTGAGATTCTTTGAAACTTTTCTGTTGGGATGCATAAGATGTATTTGCTAATGGTGCATTCAAGTGGTGTTGTCACTTGCTTTCATGTCGATTTTTTGTATTTTTCTCCAAAAAATATAGTGTAAAATCAGAATAAAATTTAATCTACAAATTGGCGTAATCGTATGCTAAATATTTGGAGCAAATGGTATTACATGTAGGTTTTCTAAAATCCAGTGGCGCAAACGTAATACAAGTGTAGGCGCAAATGAGTTGTGGCACAACTGGACGCATTTTTGGAGCAAACGGATTTCTTCCCCAATAATCATGTAAACAAGTGCATAGATATATATACTACGATAATAAAGAACAAAACAAACACATAAATATCAAAAAGCACATGCCACAATCGTATACAAATTAATAACACACATATATTTAAAATTTACAACTTGAACTACATGTATGTCGAATAGCAAAGGTTTGAATAAAATACAGTTCGTCTCTACTGGGAAGGAACATTCTAAGTATACAAACCATATTTTGGAATAAAACACATGCAGTATGCAATTTCGACAAGAACAATATATAAGCCAGTCCATGATCTGAAAAGACTCTGGACCATTGTTGGTATGTTTTGTGCTTTCATTTGGAACAGTCGTCCACATTCTTTGCGGTATTATAGACTCACTGGTGACGTAATTTTTAAATAAGTGACCTATAGTTGTTAACTTCTATGTCATTTGGTCTCTGGTGGAGAGTTGTCTCCACCAGAGACCAAATAACATCGAAGTTAACAACTATAGGTCACCGTACTGCCTTCAACAATGAGCAAAACCCATACCGCATACTCAGCAATATAAGGCCCCGAAATGAAAATGTAAATAATTTTCAAACGAGATAAAACTAACGATCTGATTTATGAACAAAATAATGAATGAAAAACAAATATGATATATAGCAACAAACGACAACCACTGAATTACAGGCTCTTGACTTGGGACAGGCATGTATATACAAAATGTGGCGGGGTTAAACATGTTAGCGGGCGCCCAACCCTCCCCCTGACCTTGGACAGCGGTGTAACAGAACAACATATGAACAAACTATATAAAAATCCACAAATATTGAGCACAGATTTTACATTCTTAAACCAAGCTTTGTTTCCATTGTAACTACCAGTAACAAGATTGTATAAAATAACGGGACGTTTCTTTTCTTCTCCGGTTACAAGCTTATCCCATTAATTGATAGTTCGCAATTTGATAAAAATATCCAGTGGGTATCAACCAAGTTCCCCATATATCATGAGGTCAGGTGTGGATTTGTTTTGATTAAGCAGTAGTTTACAAAAATTTAAGACGAAAACGTTATATCCATTCCCCAGACTTCACATCCGTAGAATAATATTGGCTTAACTTCTTTGTCAAATAATTCTAGTCGACATTTAATGTTCAAATTACGTAATCTCCTTTTTTTTAAATATCGTACATAACCCTAGTTGCTTTCTCAGCGTGTGCGTTTTTCGATTCTGTAAAACTTCCTGGAATGCCTTCATTTTATAAAATATATTTATCCATTCCTCAAATGCCAACAAAATAAATTGAATAGATGTTGTTTTTAGTGAATGGGTGTTGTTTTATAACAAAGTTTGATCATTAAGAAAAAAGCAGTTTTAAGGTAAATATTATTTTGCACATCAAAGGAGTAGGGGCAATAAGGCCCTTATTTGGCCCAAATATTACTGCAAATTTAAAAGTTATCATACATATTCTGAAATTTGTCATAACTACACTAAGGTACCAGGTATTCAGAAAATAAAAACAAAGTTCAGGTTTAACGAGTAACCATGGCAACAAACCATGACGAAATTTGTATATTTTTGTAAAATTTCTTGATTTTCCTTGTTTTTCATCAAATTTTAAGTATATTTTAGATAGGCAAAGTATGTGCGCACACAAGAAACAACTTTATATTTGGTGAGATTATGTCAATAGTTATAATAAAGCTTCTCTTAAATTATTTTGTTGTTTCTTGGCTGCGCACGATGTTTCCGTAATGGAAATAAAGATGGAAACTGCATAAATTCTGTATTTTTCATCGTTTTCATGAAAACGGTACATATTATGACGTAATTGTGACGTCATTAGATAAAAATTCTTATGTTTTTCATTTATATTTCCTGACTCTATGCATTTCTAAACAATATGTCCAAATTGGAAATAGTTGTCAAATATTTTATTTTCTTGGGCCAAAACCGGGCCTTAATGCCCCTACTCCTTTGAAATAAATTGGAAAAATAAGGAAAATAATATAAAAACTTAAAAAAAAAAAAAAATAAAACAATTAAACGGAATAAGTTGCATTTGTAGATGTTTTAAAATTACCGAAACGGAGAGGTGAAAGATAACAAAGGGACGTCCCACAGAGGATTATGTTCCGTGGGAATCGAATCCAGATTTTATTTCTCCACCGTTACGTTCTCGTGTAATTACTCCTCGGGATTCGGATCCCTTCGTGAATTTCGGATCGGGATCACTCGGTGTGCTTACGAGTTAGAACGTTAAAATCCGAATCCTCGTGTCGGTCTTGTACGAAACATGTTATCTTTAAGTTTCGTCGTGAATATGCATGCAATAATTTCTGCGTGACATAAAGTAGATATCAAATAAACAAACACTCACTCACGAGACAACATTAAAAGATGTTTAGGAAAATGACAAAATATCAGTACAAAAAGCTTTTATTGCTGAGCATCATCTTGACATTTGCTGAAAGGTCTTTCGGCAAAAGGTAGTGCATACATATTGAATATCAAGAAAAGAAAACACAACGTCGAATTTGGCGCTTTACTATTTTACATTCAATGATTCATGTTTAAAGGTTTTGAATAATCGAAAGCTTAATTTAATATATTTCAAGTCTTAAGTCTTCCATGGTGTTTAATTTTAAGAATGTTAAATATATTCATTCTACACATATATAAATCTGTTTCTAGGGTGATAGATTTTTCACAATTATTACAGAACCTCAATTGAACGGAATAGTTTGACATTTACACAGCTAATACCAATCAAAGTGAGACAAAATGGAAAAGAGAAGCGTATCAATATTCGCCATGCTCTTCTATGCTATAAGTTTTAAACAGAAATGGACCTTTATCGATCTTCTTTCTTATGTTTGTTAAGTCTTGGACAAATTGAACAAAGATTTGATCATGGATTCCACACTCATCTGCATCGAAAGAAAGAGACGGCAAATTGAATTGAAATCATATAAAAAGTGCCGATAAAAAAGCTTTATACAGGAATGATAAACAAAGCAGAATGACTTCTAACGAAACTAACGTCAACGTCACGTCAGAACTTGAATCTACGCCGATTCTAATTGCCACAATAGTTTTGATACCGATATGTACTGCAATATTCGTATTGAATGTCCTTGCTCTCGCCGTTCTCTCGAAATCCAAGAAACTGAAGCAAAATAGATTTCATCGCCTGACATTGTATCTCAGCATAAGCAACATCATTTCAAGCATTTCGTCATTATTCCTGATTGCAGATTTGTTGCTCAGATTGCAAGACATCTCTGTACCGTACATATGTTCCGGAAGCACTCTGGTGACTTCAATTACAGTATTGTTTTCCTTAGTACAAGTGCTCTTCATTTGTTTTGAACGGCTGTTGGCAACATTTCCAAGGACACAGGCCAACAAATGGAGCAATGTTTATGATTTCCTAGGAATCGGGTCTTTTGTTATCACTGGTGCGTATTGTTCTCTGATCCACATTTTATTTGAAGACAAACAGACCC